TGACAGGGTGTTTCTATTTAATAAACAGAAAAGGGTGTCTATAAATTACGGGGTGCGAGAAGGGGTGCCTATAATAAACGAGGGTGTAAGGGGGTGCCTATAGTGATTTCCTAATTAGTAAGCCAGTTTTCCTTCTTACTAATTAAGTAAAAAGTAAGTAAGCCACGAAATCGAACAGTAAATATTAAGTAAAAGTAAAGACAGAAATATTACGATAAGTAAATAGTAAGTAAATGTAACGCCCATGGAGGTAAAAGTATTACTGTAGTGGCTCGCACATCTTGAACCACACAGTTGGTTTACGGGAAAAATATGCATCCGATATACACACTCTATCCGGGCAAAATGCACGGCTGCGAAATAACGCTTGATTTGATTTTATGATGAACACTCCTTCTGGATTTGTCCAATAAATCAAACCTTTTCATTAAAATCGTTTTTCAGACAAATCAATTTGGTTTTTAAAGTTTTCTCGAAGTCATTCGCTCTTCGGCATAGAAAGTGTTCTATCTGTCGCTGGCAGCTGTACGGAACAGTAATGTTCTGACTATTTCATTATGCCGACGTTAAAAGAAGTAGTTGTTGGGAGGAAGCCTCCAAAACCCCCGAAGACAAAACCGAAACCTATCGCAGTTCTTGCTCAACCACAAGCATCTGATGCGCCTGATGCTACCAGTATCAATCCCGTACCCGAAGCACTAGCGAGTTCTTCCGATAACTCCATTGTACTGTCACCCACTTCACCGAGCTCACTTGTGTCTTTCACTGGCTCCGACGGATCGAGCGGATCTAAAGCTGCAACATCAAAGAGCACTCGAACAATCAGCTCGTCAGTGTGGAATTACTTCGAACTCGCTACTGATTCGACCAAGTGCACTGTGCCGGGCTGTTCATTTGTTTCCACTGGAAAAGGTTTTAAAAATACCGGAAATCTCGTCACGCATCTGCGATCTAAACATCCTTCTGTGTATGTCGAATTCGAAAACCAAGAAAAAGAAAAGAAGTCTCAACAGAAAGGATACACCAATAATCTGGTTCAAAGTGAACTGTCGTTTTCGACTGCCGTTTATGCTCCCTATCCTCCTGCAGACCTGAGGTAAACCGGAAAAAAATAATTAATTTACAACAAGTAACAACTGTACTCATGCAAATGACAAAATTACCGTATCTGATCTCATATGATGACTACTCGTAATTTAATTGAATACTCGTATTATTGACTAAAAATAAATTCACCTACATATGTTACTTGCTGTTTTCAGTAGATTATATAGTTTCACAAATATTTTTGTACCTATAGTTTAATGCAAAAGCTTTCTACTGTACCCACTTACTATCGTACATACAAGAGAGCACTCACTTTTAATTGCATAATATCAGTATCTGCTTTTGTATTCATTGTAACCAGGTACAAAGCCATTTTACGCGAAATTTCGCTGCTGATTGCTGAAACATCGTGTCCCCAGCGAACAGTTGAACACCACCGCTTTCGAAGCCTCACTCGATTGCTCGACCAGAAATGCCCTGAATTTAGGAGGGATGCCATAGCGAAAGAAACAAACGCCATCCGAGAGAAACTTCGAAGCGTAGTTGCCCATGTGCTGGAAACATCGGGGCTGGTGGCGATAAGCATTGGTATGGTGATAAAAATAGCTATATCAGTAACCAGCATTAAAATTGAGCCGATACTTACAAGTACAAATAATCATGAATACAGATACAGAATCCAGATTTATAAAAAGATCCAGATCCAGATCCAGATTTGGTATGGTGATAAAAATAGCTATATTAGTAACCAGCATTAAATTCATACCGATACTTACAAGTACAAATAATCATGAATACAGAATTACAGATACAGAATCCAGATTTATAAAAATACCACGTTTTATTAGATATATGGACCAAAAAAGCAATGTCTGAGTCATTTCTCGGCGTCAACTGTCACTTTTTGGACGCAAAGGACAACGTGACACATCCCTTCACACTTGCCTGCCGATCTTTTCCGAGTCCACATACCGCGGAGAATGTATACGCTATGGTAAAGAAGATTCTCGACGAATGGGGTATACCGGCAAAGCGGGTGCTCGTAATATTTACAGACAATGGGTCGAATATGGTTTGCGCCTTTAAGTATTTCGAAACAGTCCAGTTAATAATCCGAGATGAGGAGCTGCATCCGTTCGGTGGAACGCAACCGTACGAAGAAATATACCTGTTGGAAACCAGCAGTCCGTTGGATCAAAATCTGATTGACCAAGAAATCAGCGAGTTTGTCAACTTCGAAGAAACCACTACGCGGCTCTTTGCAGACTACAAACGGCTTGGGTGCTTTGTTCACACACATCAGCTAGTGGTATGTGTTTCTGAAAAGTTTGAATGGATACAAGGCGTTATGAAAAAGATTCGTCAAATTGTTTCGGCGTTTAACAAATCGGCAACAGTTACGGCGGAACTTATTGCGTTGGCACACAAGAAGTTGATTGCGGACGTTTCAACTCGCTGGAACTCTATGCTGATTATGGTAAAACGTTTTCTGGAGGTGAAGGAGCATGTACAGACACTAACGCTGAAGCACCCAAGAATTCCCGTACTGGACGCTGGTGAATGGAAGGTTTTAGAAGGCGTAAAAATTCTTCTGTAGAAATTCGAAGTGGTAAGAAGATCAAGATAAAATGTTAGGCATGGCAGATTAATAACACAGGTAACTAATTACTGCTTCGTTTAAAACTAATACTTAATTTCTTAAATCAGTTTCTCCAGTGGTCAATTAATTTTATTTATTAAATATAAGTACGAGTACGTGCCAAGTAGACGTAATTTTAATTTACTTGATTTATACTATGCAGAAAAGGTAAACCAAATAGCTAATTATCTATACATAATTACTTAAATGCCGCTCTTTTTTGTCGATTACTGTTAAGATGAGTTCGGAACATACTGCAACACTGCATATGGTTGTGCCTTATGTGAAAGAGATACTATATCATCTCGAACAACAGGTCGCCCTGGATGTGGCGTCGAGCTGGACAGTTTCGGCAAGGTGGATTGTTAACGCACCTATTCACCTTGGTTTCGGTATTGAAGAAACTTTTGCATCTGTTGTTGTGACTATGCAAGAAGAAGTAAAGAAAAGATTTGGCTCCGTTCTGGACGTCACAACTGCCAATAACGAGCCACTGTACATCACCGCGACGTTTTTACAAGGTTTTTTTAAGAACTACCTATCCGCCAGTGAAGTCAGTGTGGCTAAAAGTGAGCTGATTCGTATATTCCTTATGCGCCGACAAGCGGTAGCTGGAGCAGAAATCCCGCCGGAACTAACATTAGCATAGTTTTGCAACCTTACGAGAATAGTATATGATTACTGTAGTGTATGTAGTTCTCGTACAAAGATTGTACGAGTATCTCGTGAAATGGATAATGGCCTATGGCTAATGTGCCGTAGCAACGGTATTGTTGTTGTCCGTTATTGTTGCCATGTCTAGTGTTTAGTTGGTTGTTTGCTGCTGTCCCGAACGGACATAATAAAAGATTATGCCGTTCGTTCAATACATGACAATTGGGAATTTTCGAAACCGGCTTATGTTTAAACACAAACACAAGTTCAAGTTGCAGCTTGAACTGAAAGTTGAATTGTGGTTTGAACTTGTGCAAATATCACTTTTCGGAAATGACACCGTACACGTACATGTACATGTTTAAAAAAACTACACAACGCAAAACAAACATAAACAAACAGGAGCGGAAAGATCTTTTAGTTCCAGCTCTGCTGAATTCGCTTCGCGATGTTTCTGAATTTATCTTCACTATTACTGCTCCGTCACCGGAAAGTAATTTCCGATAAAACGTTTATTTTACTGTATGTGGCCAAGAGATGCCGGGAGCGTGAATTACGATTGATGGAGATGCAGGATGACTGGGAAATAGAGAGCCAGTTCAACCTCGAAAATTTTACTGAATTCGAATGCTTTCGATTTTTTCGATTCAGAAAGGCTGATCTCAACAGATTAGCGACAGCGCTACGCATCCCTAATGTTCTGCAGACGCCATCAGGAGACAAGGTCAGCGGGATTGAAGGACTTTGTATCCTGCTCCGCCGTCTTTCGTATCCAAACCGCTGGATTGATTTGCGTCGGATATTTGGCCGCTCTGTCGCCAATTTGTGCAGAATTTTTTATATGGTGCTGGACCAAATCGATCGATCGTTTCGTTGGCTACTGGAATCTTGGGATCAACAGTGGTTATTAGAAGAATCAATGGATGAGTTTGTTGATGCCATATCGAATAAAGGAGGAACCACGCCTGGATGTTTTGCTTTTATAGACGGCACTGCACGGCCGATTTGTCGCCCGAAGCTGTTTCAGCGCGCTTGTTTTAGTGGTCACAAAAGATACCACTGTCTAAAGTGGCAGTCGATTGTGACACCAAATGGTAAGCGACCGGCGTTCGGCTTACAAAGCCTTATGCAAATAAAAATGAAAAACTATCCATCGCTAAAAATCGCTTTCTATATTCTTTTTAGGTTTAATCTGCAATCTTTATGGTGGCGTCCGTGGGAGCATGCATGACGCCAGAATGCTTCGGGAGAGCAAATTAATCAACCGGCTACGGAATAAGTTTAATGCTTTCGTATCCGATGATTTCTGCATGTACGGCGACAGTGGATACGGAAAAACAGATTTTTTGGAAACGCCATACTCAAAAGCTCAGTGCTTAGCAGATATTCAAAAAGAAATTGACAATCTAGCAATGTCTGCCGTGCGGATCGCTGTGGAATGGAACTTTAAGGATATCGCAAATAACTGGGCATTTGTTGATTTTAAAAAACGGATGCGTTTGTTTCAAATTCCTGTCAACAAAATTTATCGTGTTGCTGTTATTTTGACTAATTGTAAGACTTGCTTAAAACCAAATCAGACCAGCCTGTATTTTAATGTACAACCGCCGATGTTGGAAAACTATTTGCAGCTGCAATAAAAATAGCCGTATTTTATTTACTATTTCTTCATGCAAGCTAACATAGCTTCCCATTTACGTTCTTCTGCAGCAATTCGCAATCGATCATTTTCTAATGCTTTCAGATCGACCTCTTTTTTCACCTGCAGTTCCATTTCTTTTAACTGTTTTTGCATCTGTAGTTCTTTATCCTTCATTTCTTTCTGCGCCTCGATTTCTTTTTCATTGTCAATTTCCATCTTGCGGATGCGCGCGGAACTCTCCAACTCCATTTCACGGATGCGCTGCGTCTTCGCTGATTCTTGGGAAATGAGGGATACCACCGTCTCTGCTTCGCTAAGTTTAGGGCTGGTCTTCCTTTTCTGCAGGCGAGTAGGAATCTTTCTGCCGTTGTCGTCATCTTCACGTTGCCCATTAGCTACAAAAACTTGTAATATTAATGCTAGCCTGTACAAGTAATATTTATTAACAAACACTACCACAGCTAAGTACCTTCACAACAAACCCTAAAAAACAAAATTTGACAAAATCTTAAAATTCACTTATCATTTCTGTTGAGCTTACCGTTATTTAATTCAGCAGGATCCATGGCACCCATAGCCACCAACTCTTCGTCCGTCACTTCAACTTGCTCAACTATGCCGACTTCTCCCGCAGCTTCGACAGCCTTGTTCGCTTCTTCCAGCTCAGTATCGCGCTTAGCCTGCTCTTGCTTCTTGAGGGCTGCTCGAGATTTACGCTGGGTTTCCCAGTCTAGTGCTGCTGCACTGATGTTGGTGAGGAGCTTTTCGATGTCTCCATATTGCTCTTCAGTTCCACTTTTAACAACATTCCGTACGTCTTCGCTGCGAAACGCTTTAACCAAAATCTCCACGCGGTTTTTACACGCAACGCCATCGAGCAGATTATCAGGACCAAACATCTGTAAAGGCAGACTACTATTGCTATGACACATACGTATAGCTGTACGCTCACTGCAACCTCGTACACTGCGTATTAGATACCATGATATGTAACACAATTTTAATTCTCCTTCTTCAAAAAGGAAAAAGTAACGCGAAACTAACAAACAAACCTGATCGGGGATTTTATTCAGGTTCTCTGCGACGGTCTTCCAAGCTTGTTCTTTGTTCCTTGCAAAATACGGGCTGATCGTGTTCACCTCATCCAGCAATAAAAGATCGTGTTTGGCCTTAAAACGCCTTTGTGGTGCCATGATAAGGAACGAATAAATCAAAAAAAGGAGAAAGCGAACAGTTTTTCTTTATCACATGGAAGGTAGAAGTAAAAATGTAAAATACACAAAAACTAGTGCTGTAACATAGCGCTAGCAAATATTCTGCATTTCGGAGCGAAGCTGCCGAAGCATTGTGATTTGTGATGCAAGCCTGCGCCACCAGGCGGTTGTCTTGCATTTGGCGGCAACAAAACTTTGAATTTGGTCCCGTCCGAAACGGTTTTTATCTAGTAAACCACCGAGAACTAAACTTGAACTCAAGCAAAATAATTGTAGATGAATAGTTGAACTAATTATAATTTGCATAACTACAAGTTCTTGGACGAACCGTTGATAAACTACAACGTGTCAAAAAGTACTCAAGTTTAAGGGCCTTTCAACTTGAACTGAAGTTTGAAAAACGCCATGTATACAAGTTCGACTTGATGAATACACAGGGTTTAGGCATACCCTCTACTACATTTTAGGCTTGAATTTGAGTATGAGCTTAAACTTGAAGCGTTTTCGAAAATTCACAAATTACTTACAGATTAGTCAGTAATTATATTAACGTTAAATTATGTTTAAGCAGTAATACGTGCTGTGAAAGTGTACATGTCGAGCTTAACATGTACTTACGCATTAACGCGAAAGTCATTAATAAAGTAATGGCTCATTAATTTTATTACCGGAAAAATATGTATATGAACCGTACTGTATGCTAGTTAGTACTTGTACTGCAGACGCTAGCCACGATAAGCAATCACGTTACAGCATAGTCGTTAAAACTCTGGCCGAAAGGAAAATTCGGGGATATGCGCGTGTTGTATACCGCCAGGCTGTTGGTAATGGTCTTAACTGATCCCTTCCGGTTCGACTGTATTCTTTTGAATTTGTGTGTATAGTCTGGCTGTGCATTGCTTATATAATTAATAAGTCTGAAAATTAATTTGTAATAAGTAACAAAACCGATACATTACTCACTTACGAGTACATATAATCTTCGACCACAACCTTCTACATGCACGAATAATTGCTGCTTTCATACTGACCAGGGCCCGGTCACCGTCTTTCCCCTCACAAAAATTTCATTTGTTAAAAGACAGCTTTGGTAATGGTATTTATAAAAAAATTCCGACAGTGGTCCAGTGGGCGCGGCCAAAAACCATGTAAGTTTTTAAAACAAACTGAACTATGTATTGTCAATGTAATGTATTGTACGAGTACATATTCTCGTACTTCTGGCATAGAAAAGGATTATCCTATTCTATGCTTCTGATCATGCTACTGAAACATTATGTTCCGAGGCGAGGGTGCTGTATTACCACTGCAGACTTGCCCATTAACTAATTTTCAATTTATAATGACTGCTTTCACAATATAAAATTTCCAGAAAAGTTCGCCCGTATTGGATTTAATACGATTGCACTTCTTTCTGTATGATGTTTATTGGGCAAAGGCCATCAGTGTAACAAAAGTGCATACGCGTAATACTACTTAAAATGATACAAGTTTAAACGTTAAAAAAACAACCAAAATCGTTATCGCCGTCAAAAATCCTAGGCCGCATATTCAAGGTGCCCAAAACAGCGGCAGCGTTTCCTTTTACTACAGCCAGACTTAATCTCTGCTTCAAAAATGCAGTAGAACGAGGTTCCCCAGTCACGTCGCGAATCTTTCTGCCAGCGAAACGAATGAGCTCCATAAAATCCGGACCGAATGTGCCAAAAGTTTCGACTGCCAGGGCGTAAAACAGGTAACCCATCCTTTCCACGTAGGCGTATTTACGGCGTTTGCAGTCTTCGGCCATATGTGCAACACTACCGGATGCGCTCGCACTTGCCCGGACATGCGATGCAGCTACTGTGTCCCAGCATGTGGCGTCCCATACCAGCGCCTTACCATCCCGTACCGGCACTAGGGTCATGCCGTCTGGCCGCGTGTTATCTTTTCTGTATTCTTCAGTATGCTGCACCGCGCAATCACTGCTGGATTTGTAGAGCTCAGTAAGTATAGAAGTACGGATTTCATAAAAATTTTGCATTTGTCAAGAAAGTTTTATTGAAGAAGTCGAAATAGGAGCTTCGCACTGTTCGCAGTACGATAAACAGCACCTAAAACAGTTTGATGGGAACACGTGCTATTTCAAGTGCGATACTTCCACTTACAATATGCAGTACATTGACAGATAACAATGCATACCAACATAAACTGTAATTAATTTTTCTTTAGAAAAATTTCTTTAGAAGTCTAACCTGACTACTGAATACAGAATTGGTACTTACTTCTTTTCGTAACTGGACGTCTTCAGAACTGTTATTTTCACGGTGTAGGGTGTGGTTGTGCAGGAAGCGCATGCTGATAGTTTCGTGGACATGATGATGGGTATTAGCCTGCATTTCTTTTTATTATAAACAGAGGCTGTCTGCCGCAAACCACGCAGTGACTTGGCCAATCTGACAGTCGAGTGTGTGTATTTTTATTAACAAAAACGAGATAACAATATATACCCAGATTTTACAAATCATCAGTTCCGATTAAAACAAGCCGCATTTTCCACCTTACCAATAACAGAAGCGGCATTAGCTCGCTGTAGTGCTAGTGAATGTTCTGGTTAACACTCGTCCTCGTCCATGTGCCTGAGAGGCACATTTAATCATTCAGAAATTCATGGAACATTACACTGGCAGTTAACTTCGTCCTACCTAACCTGAATTCTTCAGAAAATTTGTTTGCTTTTCACTTATTGAAACAGTTAGCGAAAATAAATGAACTGAAAACTTAAAAACTACGAATTCCAACCACTTCCGGTTGGTGAACAAATGGCAGTCTCCCAGTGTGGCAGCGTGATTTGGCTCTGCTGCGAATGTTTTTGCGAAGTCCTCACTTCTTTTCAGATTCAGTTTACTGATTCAAAACCAACTCTTTCTCCTTGGGTGCTTAATAAAAAGGAAGAACTATCTGTAGAAAACATTTTTTAAGCATACCAGACCGTTCTACAGCAGATTGAGACGAACCCATGGGCTGCGCCTGCGCGGCACACAAGAAAACTCCGTGTAATTAAACCATAGACGAGTGCGAGTGTTAAGAAACTCGTGACTACGAATGTTGCCTGCATGAGCATCTTGGCAAATGTCCCCCAACCCAACTCCCGAATGCTTCAAATACGACAGCAACAAACTCGTCCCCTTTTACCAGGAAGCTGTATTTATCGGATTCAGTCTTCACATCGGCCCTTACGCATAATGTCGCATATCGGCTGCCGCATCGGCCCTTCCACCGGTGGTGCGGCATAAGTGCTTTCATCATCCTTTTGTTATAACGGAAATAACTTGGAAACGGGTGAACCGATTTTAACATTTTCAAGTACTCCGAAAAGAGCAAGCTTTGCTAAATCCAGTATAATCTAAGCAATCCAAAGAAAAGCGACCCAGGAGAAAAATACACAGCTGAAGCTAGCCCGCTTAATTAAGTGTATGTCGCCCGTTCGTTTACCAGAGTGGCGCGCTTAAACATCATTACGAGTAGAGCGCGAACCCGATTTACGGAACTGATTCGTGTTTTAAAAAGCAAATTCGCGGCGGTCATTTTTCTTACTTGTTTACTGATCGGTGCAGAGATATATAATTGCGCAGACAGCAGACTTGATAATCAGAACACCAACTTTCGGTGCTATAATAAACTGAGTAGCTATTGGTTGGTCACAGTAATCGTAGCGGTCTGAAAGACCCACTCGTGGACGCCTTCATGCGGCCGGAAGAAGCACTGCAGCTCGGCGCCAGCGCTAGCTGGGAGATTTCCCACTTTTAGTGCGTTGTCGATAAACTGTCCGGGAAGATTACTGGGTACCGCTGGTTTCCGGTGGCAGTTCACCGTGAAGATGGGCGGTTCCTGCGAGGGCGGCAGCGCACCGTACGGCAGCTGCGTGGGCGGCCGGTACAGACGGCCCATCCAGCGCCAGACAACATGGTTATCCAGGTTACGCAGGACTCCGTCTGGGAGTGGCAAACGGACGCGGCAGGGGATGGTCACGCTGCCGCCTACGCGGGTCACGCGCGTCCCGCCCTCGGGCAGCGGTGCAAAGACTTCGCTGGCGCGGGTAATCGTGAAGCGGCGCAGAACGAGCGGCTGGCCGGTGTAGCTGCTCGCGGTGGGCGTGGCATCCACGCAGAGGAGCGGCCCGCCCGAGTAGGCGGTGACGTTGAGGACCACCAGCTGCAGGCGGCGGTCACCCACGCGGCTGACGTTGTAGCGCTGCGCCGGGTCCTCCGGCGGGGCGTGGCCTGCTTCGAAGACGGTGCGTCCGCGGTGCAGCCAGGTCAGCGAGCGCCAGTCGCCCCCGGGCGGCGCCTCGCAGCTAAACGTCGCGTCCTCGCCCAGCCGGGGCCGGCTCAGGAGGCCCTCCAGGATGCCCGCGTTCGCGGCCAGCGGCAGAGTGATGCGCTCGTCCTGTCTCGTCCGCAGGGCCTCCGTGATCAGGTCCTCCACTGCAATTAAGATCGATATTAGGAAAACTCTCTCCACGAATCACGGCCACTTACGGCTGCTCGCCGGTGGCACATTGGACAGCGGCCATTGAAGGGCAAACGGGGGCGGCAGGCATCCCCAGCACACGCTCCACACGCTCAGCTGCAGCCACGCTAAATCACACACCACGCCCAAATGCATCATTAAATTTCATTTTTTTTGTAACTTTTTTCAATGCTAATCGTAAATACTATACATACGTACTACGTACGTCACAGCAGGCCCAGTTTTCTGTACGATGCATTGATTTTGCACGTCTGGTTGTCGTTTACAGTAGTAGTTACTAGTCTTCCTATTTGCGTGTTATCAACGCCCCGATACTGTCATCTTGGCATTTTTTACCGAGATTTCAGTGACTTTGCTGCGTTTGTTTGACCAGCTTAACGTCTATAAGAACACGTACATAACGCTGTTCTTATTATCTTTTTTCTGGTATTAATGCTTAATATAGATTATTACTAAATACTATCAGATAGGAAATTTACTTGAAGATATTAAATACAGATAGTTTCAGTAGAAGTATTCTTACTGTACGCAATTCACGAAGTCGTTACAGTATTAAGAAAAATGTAGCAGGAGCTACGTAATACAACTGTACAAGAATTCCGTGTTACGGATATAACAGGCGTATCCATGGCAATACAAGAGTCGTCATGGCGTATTATTACAAGAGTCATCATCGACTTCGCCTCAGATGCTCGCAGTGGTCTACGATCAATTCCTTAGAAAATAACTGTAGGGTAATTCAAAACCAAGCCATATATACTATGTGAAAATGTCGCTTGGTATGTTGTCAGAAATTTTATTGGAATGATTCTATCATCAAAACCCAGGCAACAGAACGATTTACACATACAGTGAATGTATTTTTCTTTTTTTTTCTTTTTTTAAGAATCTCTTTTCTTGCTCATCTTAATTCAACGAATAATCTGTAAGAACTATTGAGACCAGACGGCGGTTCACATGCACGCACGCGTACAGAACTTTTGCAGGTCGAATAGCGGAATGTAAATTAATGTTGGAAAAGACTGCGCCTATAGCACAGTTCCTAGTTTGTAATCATGACATGTACATGAGGAGGATTAGTATCTTAAAGTCACCTTCAGGCTTCAGCCGATACTCAAGTGCAGGCGCTATAAAGCCGACGAACCCGGAATATTAATTCAGTCCGTAGTATTATTATGTGCATTTCCTCGGTTGCCGCGTACTTCGTTGTACATTTTTGAAGAAGCTGGAAGAATTTCAAACCGGCATTGGTCAGTCCAGTGCAGCACAATGTCATCGTTTGCCAATAATGTGACTGCCGACGTACTTGTACATGTTATTACCTGTACATACAAGTACTTATTACGTATATAGATGCGATTTTTTTATGTGATTTTTCTCTGTTCTCTGTGTCAATATGTGAAAAGTATGAACGACTCAATACACCGCGGTGTATTGTACATTTCATTCATACTGTCCCAGACCCCAGCTGCAGCAACTTGCTGGGTTCTCGCGAAACACAGCGGACGGACTTATCTGTGTAAAGTTGTAAATGCCGGCAGCCTCTTATTCACAACAGCGGTTTCAAATCAAGATTTCATTCAGCGACCACCATCGCACAGTTTTTCTTGCGTGCAAAGGCCAGGTGTACGCATCCGGTCTATGTAATAATGACTGTTATATTGTACTTAGTAGATCACCGTAAAACCAATACATATATTGTACATATCGTATAATGCGCCGGTAGTGCATATTACGTAAAGTATCATAAATTATAACTAACAGCATTGTATCGTTGTAAACATAAAAAGGACCCTGTAGTTGTTTTTCTAATGATTACGATCGATAAGATTACTTTAAGAAGTGAGACCGTTGATGCTGTTCTCTATGTCGCTGTAAATGCCCTGTATTGTCGAATAACAATAAAACATCGGTAGAGAGTCTACTCGTAGAGACTACAGATCTTAGTGCTACAGATCTACGGATCTTAGTAAAGTACCTAGTTTTCGTTGTGAGATCAGTAATTACCGGCAATTACTACTCTAGTAAGTACTCGTTAATTGTACTCTGTACTCGCAATATTACAGTACATATTATAATACTACAAGAGTCATCTTCGGCTTCGCCTCAGATGCTCTTGTGGTCTACAGTCAATTCTTTGAAAAATAATTGTTGATCATTTATTTTTGAAGCCTGGTTTGTGTGTATGATTTTACGTTGTATGATTAAGCGCTGTACACAGCTTCAGTTAGCTTGCTCTAATCAGGAAACAGCATTATATCTATATAGCTTAATAGCTGATCGGTTCATTTTATGTGAAACAAAATAGTTAATAGCACGACTGATAATCGGAGAGCGGTCAGCGTGCTAAGTTTCTAATAATTCGGCTTCGCTACGTTTTAATAACTGGTACGTGGAAACCAATTTTGATCGAAGAATAATATCCTTTGTTCAGTAATCAGTAGGCTTGGTCAGTAGATGCAGTAGTGTGAATTTTTTGAGTTTTTGATTATTTTTTTATTTTTGATTCAGTCGGGAGCAAGGAGTGTGTAGTGATAACGAGGAACAGAGAACACGTTGTCCTAGTCATCGAACATTAGTAACAGCAATAACGGGTCCTGTAATTTGCGTTTACGCAGCAGCCCTGATTAGTGATACTTAAACACTGGTATGACCTGCGGGTTGGCTCTTTCTGAACTTCGATTATTTCCGGATAACTGTTTCCAAAAAAAATTTTGACAGAGATTTCAAGCATCTAATGGTGTTTGCATTTACACGGGGTGTCGGTCTACCCGGTGCTAGGTAGTTAACATTTTTTGTTTATTGGCAATAGCAACCAACAAAATAAAAACTAGCCCTTGCGGTCACACTATTTGTGGTAAGGGGTGGTAAGGCCGGTGGTAAATTGGGGATTTTGGACCACGGCGACCGTTCCCTTTATTTAGTAGAGGTTTGGTCGGTGGATAGACATGCCAGCTTTTGCGCAGTTCTGTTCGTTTGACAGCTGGAGCATTAGCGTTGTGCTGGACAATGATAACGGTTCTGCCCTTATCTGGTCTAAGCCACTAACACTAAAATAATATCCCTTTCCTAAAACTTGAGCTTCCGTTCACTCTACAGGCCTGATCGACGGTAAGTAAAGGAGAATAAAATTTTAAAATGTTTATTCACGTGGCAAATGCATTCACGTGGCATTCAAAGCCTTATTATGAATCCCAAATCCTCATTATGAATCCCATTATACTTATCCCAAATTTGCATGTAAACGCGCGAGTATACCGTAGTATGAGTATTATGATCGTTTTACACCGAACCAGACAACGTCTTTTCTATTTAAGTTATTTTTAAATTTTCTGTTTATTGTAGATCTAAGTTTTTTGTAATGTATAAGAACAATGTACAATGTATAAGAACGCGGAAAAGCTAAAACGTTCCAGTGCAAACGCGCTTTCCGGTTCCGAAAACCAAAAGAAAATTTCTTCGCTTTAGTGCGTTTTGTTGAAACATGACAAAGCTGAAAAATTTTTCGAAGTTTATTTGAAAAAATTACAGTTTTTTTTATTACACTACATACTCTGCATTTGAATATTAGCTGCTCCACGCAACAGTGTTTTATGTAAAAGGTCTTTCAAGGTCCCCTTGAACTGATGCCTGTACCGGTACCGGCATCCGAGCGATGGTCCAGGGCAGATCTTTTTGAAAACAAAATGCATGTGGGACCCCTTTGGGACATGCTGAGTTTAATGGTGAAATCGATTTTGTAATTTGCTTAGCGGTTTTTTCTACCCAAGTTCCACGGGGCGGCCGATCATAGTATAGATCTATTTCCTTGATAGATTAGTAGTTTAGTTGCTTTCGAGAACAGACCAACCCTGGACCACGTATCGAGTCTGGTCACCACCGCACCATAACACATCGTCTCTGCAGAAACGAGCAATAAAGCCCAATCAAGCCACATGCATATGACAGAAAACAGTGTAAGCCAAAGGTCACTGAACGACCTTATACTGTATAACATTACGGTCAGAAACAACCTGTACCTGTGAACGCTTAATGCCGGTAGTGCAGTGTTTTGCGCTGTCTATTTCACCTGCGGCGTCCGCTTGCGCTATACTGCCATTCCGATTGTCTGCCGTCCTATATAAAATTATATCTATAGTACTAGTCTTAATCAAACTATACATGTAAATAGACTGCGTCCCGAACCGCCGGGTGCATGCAAAAAGAATCAGAAGGAGATCATAATATTATGTACGTTGGGTACCTATCGTTTTAACGGAAGTGGCCTGGTACATGGTATGAAATTCGTGTACATGCACGCAAACTTTCACTTTAGCGCACTCCCACATACATTTTTGTTTCGGGTTATGACATTCTGTAGCCAGAAGATTTCTTTTACCTGTCATGAAAACCGTTTGGGCGCGCAGTATCCGGTTCGGAAGTTATGCCTGTTAGAAACTTAGAATGTTTCAAAAGTTTAAATGCATTCAGGTGTACAGTCTCACTATGCAAGTCTCATTATGCATCGGAAGTCTCATTATGCATCGATCTCCATCAAATTTTGTACGTAAATGCACACTGCTACGAAAATCGTTCTTATGCCGATGCAGACTTCCACAATTTTTCCAATTTCAAAATTTGGAAAACATGCCAGAGCAGTGGATCGGTGTAAAAACGATGCGGAGCCTTCACCATAATATAATGAGGAAATTAATTTTTTGCTTCTACATTAGTAAAGTATTCATTATTCAACCGGTTAATAAGATGTATCTGTATATCGCGTTAAGGTAGATATTGAGGTTGACGAACCGTTGCTGCATCAGGTTTTTCAAAAATGCGAAGAAAACGTTGTTTCTTATAGGTTTCTTACATTTTCTTAGGTTTCCTTGTGTTTTCAGGTTATCGAACAGCCGGACGTCTTGGTTGTCATAATTTGCTCTGTTTTTCCTTATGTGTCCCAAAAAATGTGTGACGGCCGAAATGTCAGTAAGCCCAAGGGCCTCGCATTTGCTCATTACTTCCGGTTGCGAAGACTCTGCAATTGAAGGTTGTTGAGATAGGTATAAAGACTTTCGGTGAATCATTTCCGATCGGTTCAGTAGTCCGTGGAAGTTGAAGCTGCCGAAAGGAAAACTCGAGATATGTAACCGTATGTTATCGTAACGCTATTGGATATGTTCGGTTACGGACTCTTTTAAGACCTTAACCGGTCACTTCCGGTTCGGTTGCATTCGTTGAATTTGAAGTCTGGCTGCGCATT